GTCGTGTAGACTGTGGTTTAGGTTAATGATTAAGGGAAACGTTCGAGTCCCAGGAGTTAGGCTAGCTCAGGTTCTTTTAATCTTGATGTTAGGAAATGTATTTGGTGTGCATCGTAGCTAAAACAAAGATTAAATAATGCCTTCATGTAACTAAAAACAAAGAATTGGATGGTTAGTTAAGATAATTGGACAAGACTCTAAAATATGGAAAGAGAACTAGTAACCTGTTTTTCTGGTATTTATTAAAAACTACTGCCTATGTAGACAGTTATGGCTGAAAGGCTACTGACCTATGAGAAGCCTAAAAGATAAATATTTAACTGTATGTGGTTCTTGGGGATAATTTGTTTTTCACCTCTAATGTAAGGAAAATGAGAAACACTTTTTTAAAAACTTGTATTCATTGTAATCATTCACTTAAAATAGAATGTAATGATATTGTAATTTTTATACTGCTTGAAAGATTTTGCTGGGGTATATAAACTGGAAGGGAAAAACTAAAGACACAGGGAAGGCAGACATCAGGGTAGAAGATCAGAAAAGGAATAGTGTAGAACAAGCAACAGAAGGAATAATAAAATGAAGAACTAAGCTTTGGCCCTCAGAAAAGTCCTCGTGTGTCTGTCTGTCTGAGTAGTTCACCTGCTCTGCATCTCCTCTTCAGTGTCTCTGACCTGCTGACGGCTTGCCATTCATCAGCACCCTAGGTGAGACCCTGTGCGTGCGTGCGTGCGTGCGTGCGTGCGTGCGTGAGTGCATGTTTCTCTTTTTTGCCAGCTCTAGAGAATTAAGTTTTACACCCTCAGATAGAAAGGTCAAATGAGTGATTAGTTCACCTACTCCGTGGCTCCCCTTCAGTTCCTGATCTTCAGAAGGCTGGTCCTTTCAGCAGCATCGCCCTGTTTCTTTTCCCTTCCCTCCCCCTCCCCTCCTCCCCTCCCTTCTTCTTCTTCTTCTTCTTCTTCTTCTTCTTCTTCTTCTTCTTCTTCTTCTTCTTCTTCTTCTTCTTCTTCTTCTTCTTCTTTTCTCTCTCTCTCTCT